CCCCCTACTTGGCCAAAATCTATTTCTTAATCCCAAGATGCCATTTTGTTGCGTTGCCACAGTATAACCGCTGCCCAGTCACATTGATGCCAGCAAACGTTGATCAGATAAGGAGGTTGTTCCATGATATGTAGAGACCTAGAGATGCTATAATAGGAGATAATCCATGTATTTTTCACCAAAGAAATCAATGAACGAGATATAGATGCAGCAGCCATTACAAGCAGCAAAATAATGTACAATTTGCACTCATCTTGAACCCCGTCCATTTCGACAGCAATCCGTGTGCCGTAGTCCTAGCGGGACAACACTTGACCCATCTTATAGATGTCACCCATTTAAATTTGTACACTAAGTTTTTTTCCCATTCTTTGTTTCTTTTTTACTCTGGATTTGTATCTCAACAATCTCGTGCTAAGCAAGGTTTGATTCTGCATCTATTGATTAATTTACATCCGTGTTGTTGGGCTTCATCCATATAATCTTCACATGGATTTGTATTATGTCCACCGTCCTCCGGATGCTAAAGCGGCTTTGTTTCTCCAGAAACTGCAACTACCACTAAAAAGTGCACCGTTTCAGCTGCTTTGTTTTTTTTTTTTTAAAAAAAAAACATGAGGTTCCGTGTTAAAGGCATGGTGCATTGGAGGGTAGCAGTAGTAATTTTTTTAAAAGTATAGTTTTTTAAAAATATATAAAAATAATATCTTTATTAGAAATATTATTTTGAATATAAATATATCAAAATAATTTGAAATATTCAAATAAAATTAATTTAAAATAAATAATATATTTTTAGAATATAAAAACAGAACAGGTCCAAGTGGTCTGCAATGCAATAGCTTGCCTGTCTACCTTGTTCAACTATGGTAATATATTTTTTAAATGTCTTAGCCTTGCAGTGTAATGGTAGTTTTTTTAAAGTATGGTTTTTCAAAAATATATAAAAATAATATTTTTATTTTTAAAATTATTTTTAATATAAATATATGAAAACAATTTAAAAATATTAAAATAAAATTAATTTAAAGTAAATAAAAAAATTAATTTTTTTTAAATATAAAAACAATCAGTTCTAAGCGGTCGAGGCTGCAATGCAATAGCATGCTTGTCTTCCAGGTCCAGCTATGGGACCTTTGTCAATCAGTTGTCATAATATCAGACTTTCTCGAGAATTCCCAGTTTGGGATAGATGTTTGCGAAAATTCATAAAAAATAAAATAAAATAAAAAATAAATTATTTTTTTATATTTTAATATATTAATATAAAAAATAAATTAAAAAAAAAACTCCTGAAAAACAATTTAAGCATTGGATTCCAGGATTCAATTCAGTTTATCTCAAATGGGAAACGAAGTAACAAGTACTCGAATAATTCCTCTTCCTCAACAAAACTACTGTTATTAACAAGCATCTCAGATTATTGCATACTGCATGCCAAAGTGGGGCAAAGCCAACAAATCCACAGAACATGTGCATGCATAGGTACAGAACATCAAAGCAACAAGCAAAATTGCATGAGGCGCCTCCTACACTTGAGCAACGGCTCCTTCCAAAGCTCTGTCCAATCTTTCCTCGAACGGAATAGAATTCCATTTCAGCTTCTCATCCTGCAAAACCGGAAAGAAATCGTTATTGTTTCATGAAAACTATAAGAATACAAAGCCATGAACCGCGATTCAATATTACCTCTACTTTTTTTGTTCTAAGCATTCCTTTGCTGGAAGAGCCTGAATCCGATTCCACAACCCGTCCAGTATGAATCCAGTAGCTTCCAACAGTCCCTGTAAGAGGTGTTTCTACAGGAGTCAAACTCCTTGACCGCCTTGGAGTATTAGAAGCAGAATGTTGTTCAAGATCCTCAACTGTCAAAGCTCCTAAAATAGGCCTATCTTCATGACTTCTTGGCGAACAACTCCTTGCAGATGGCGTGTTCCCAACTGAATTAGGGCTACCCTTGGACATTGGCGGTGTGGCCAACCAACTTGATAAGCTAGTATCCACTGCAATTTCTTGATCCACCAGCTTCTTCTGCTTGTACAACTTGAAAATAGTCTCCGGACTAATGTTTTTGTCAAAATCTTGCTCTACATTGACATTTTCCTTGTCTTCATGCTGCCATGGTGAGGTTGCTCTTGCTTTGGCTTCTTTCCATTGAATTAGATTTTCTACTGGGTTCAGAACGGGGTCATCAAACCGAGACATAACTAGAGCATCTTGATTGGACCCCTCTAGTTTAGGTTCCTCCTTAGGTGGTGACTCACCTTTTGGCATGGGACTACTAACCTCCTTTTCACCCAATTCAGCTCCATGCACCTGTTTTCTTGAATCAATTGATATTGAAAACAAAGACTCGGATGGCTCTTCTTGAATCAATACTTGAACAGCTTCATTTAAATCACTAGCTTCCAAGTCCAAATCTTCATAATCTTCTTCGTCAACTCGATTTTGATATCTGTTATTTGGATGATAACATCCGACATTTGATGCAACCACGTTAGAAACTGATTTGTTCATGTTTGATGGTTCTTCTTCTTTGTTTTCAGACTTTCTCTCTTCTTCTTTGTACTCTACTACGTTGATGATAACTTCTTCATCAGTTGATAAACCCTCGTAGGTTTCGACATTGAAATTAAAAGTCAATTTCCTTTTCTCATTGCAGCGCATTTGCTCCTCAAGATTCTCTCTAACAGCATCAACGAATAAAAAAATTAATGCATAAATTGTTTTAAAAAAAAACTAAAACCACAAATCCAATGAACTAAATCAAACTACCAAAGATCTCAAGCCAAAAACAATGAATAGCTTACTTTGATTCCAAAATGGGCTCAATGGGCACCTGAGGAACTCCCTCTTGCTTTGTGGGTTCATGAACTTTCGAAGCTTCAGTAGCTCCATCATCCTGCAACAAACCAAGGGATCAGTACAGCTGTTGTCTACAAGAAACTAACTGCGAAATGCTAAAACTGAAAAAAAGAAGGAAAAAAACATAAAGGATGAAGCTTGAAAATGGACTTACATGAGGTTTAGATGGAGTTACATTCACCAAATGTCTACATTTTCCATGCTTACAAGCAGTGAAACAAGCGAAAAGGGAGCACCCCATTATTAGGCACTATTGACTTGACTTGTATGTAAAAGTTTCTTGCTTTTGTTTTTCAAAAGAAAGGAGAAAGGTAGTCTTCATGAGAGTGAGAGATGTTTTGTACAGAGAGGTTAGGATGTGGAGAAGAAAACGGGGAAGGAAATTTGAGGAATCTGATTCCAGGGACTTGAAAATTTGACCGTTAGGATTCTTTTTTAAAAAAAAAATTATGGATTCATCCAGTATTATATTATTGAGGGGTGGTGCTGAACTCAAGAGGTGTCGCTCTCTTCAATGATAATTAGATTTAAATATACAAAGAGGAAAAGAAAGACTAATTATTTTATTTGTACCTTTTCTTTGCATATGGGATACAATTAAAAAAATCAAATAAAATAAAAAGCAACGGGTGAATCATAGAAGCAGCCTTGTTGTATTATGGATTGTTTTTTTTATAAAAAAAAATAGACTTGTTATTGAGATTAATACAATCTTTAAAATAACGAAATTACCTTTAAAATTAAGATTTATTTAACTAGTCCAGAGTTTTTTTTATCCTAGTTTTTTTCTTAAAAAATAACTTGTATTATGGGTTATCTCAATTTTTTTTATTTATTGTTCTTCATTAAATTTATCTTTTTAAAACAATTTTATTTTTTAATTAAATCAAATTAATTGATTAAATGTGAGCATGAAATATTTATCTCATGATATTTTATTTGGTTTGCTTTCTAAGTTGTTACTTTGATAGTATATGCGATCTATTTTAATGTTGTAGTACAATCTTTCATAGTGTTATCAGAACAGTCTTTATAAGTTTTTTTATGATGAGGTGATATCCATGGCGAAGTGATAATAAGTTTTTAATGATCTTTTCTTTTTTTTTTCTTTTCAAGTTTGGTATTAACAACTTATTTTTTATAATTAATTATTGCTATTTTTTAGTTATTTATTATTGTTACTTACTTTTTTTATTATATTATTAAATTAAATGAGCTTATTGGATCTAATCAAGTTAATGATTTGAGTCTTATTTTTTTTTTACTTTTTTTAAAAAACACTACTATTATTCGGGCATCTTTTTTTTATATTAGAAAAAAATTGATTTAGCCCGCAACATAATGCAGAAGACCAATCTAGTATATAAGTTATAGCAATTTAATCTAAAAATCAATAGATATCAGCTTAGATCGACTTAAATAATATCTTTTTTTAATAATTTCTTTACTTCGTAGGAAATGGATAAAATATATATATTATCAAACTCGTATCCAAAACCGATCCAAATATAATCCAATATGTATAATCCAAGAATTGATTCTTTAGGAGCATTGATGAGGTTATAAAAATCATAAAGAATGTTGTTTAATGATTTATTCCTAGAAACTCCTTGACATCATTTATGGTGAATTCAATGACCTCCACTTCAAGACCACACAAGTTTTTCCTTAGGCAAATCCTTCTCTATGTGGAAAATATATCTGCATAAAGTCCCTCGAGTAGTGTGGATAGGGGGACCTTTCGAAGATCAAGTCAGTACTAGAAATATTTACGTGAAGAACGACATTAATGGAGACATGAATTGAGATTTCAAAGAGTATTCATCAATGTATAAAAAGGATTTGAGAAGAAGATTTGAAGGTGAGGAGAGGAGAAAAATCCCCTTTCCTCCCCGTTTTCCCTTCTTTTATATCATCTGGTTTCTACTGTCTCATGCAACGTAAGAGGGGTAAAAAAGTAATATTGTACAAGTAAGATAATATTATCTTATTGATTGTACCATCACATCTAAGTAATATAAGTATAGATAACTTGCTCATATTTAATGGGATCGTGATGGGCATCATGATTATTAATTTGGGTTCAGGATATGGGAGGCCCACTGCAGAGTGACCTTTCAGTTCCATACCCGATCTCAGAAATATTGGGCTCATTTTGACCCGAAGCCTAGGAGAAAACAGGGTGTGGACATACTCAGGCTCAATGTAAGTTGGGCGTGGTTACATTCGAGTTCATCGAGGGACTGGGCATGGACATGTATAGAGTTGGGCATGGTTGTGCTCAAGTTAAAAACAGGGCTGGATATGGACACATCCACGCTTGACATAGAGTTGGGTGTGAAGTTACCCTAACCCAATTTTAAGTAGGGCATCACCATGTCATGGCCCAACTGGAGCTTGGAACCTAAAAAATCATAGTTTTATTTTATATTATAATTGTTAGGAGTCATTTATTAAGTGAGGTTGATTTAAGAAAGCATGACAACTAAACATTTACTTTCGAGAGGTAGAGATAATAGTTTTTAAACCCAATCTAAAATCAATTCTTTACAAGTATCTATTTTCGAGAGGCAGAGAGGATAGATTAAAATGAGTATAAATATGGTAGAGTAAAAGAATGGATAATTTATATAAATGAAAAAATTAAAAATAAATCCATTTAGTCATAAATGAGGAGGGATAAAAAGATTCTTTTAATCCTTTCTTGGTGTCAACCCTTCTTTCAAAGAAAAAAAAAACATTTAATCATTCACTTTTTATCCCTTTTTCGTCAAGTTTTACCTCTTGAAAAACTCACCCAAAAAGGATTTTTCAAAAAATTACAATTGAGTGCTTTAGGGGTAGTGTCTCGGCTTCTAGGGAGTAGAATGGTGCTCCAACCAGCCCAAGCTCCGAAAATCTTCAAGAAACAAGGAGGAGCTAGCATCAAAACGGAGGGCGTGTGACATTTCTTCTCATGTAGGTTGTTAAATTAAAACATGGTAAATATGATTTAATCTTTATATAGGGTTGAATGAGAAAAAAACAATTTTACAAGAAAAAAATGAAGAAAAATGTATTAATTTAGCCTGTTCGGAAATACTGTTGACCTGGATTTTCATCAAATTTTAAATTTTTTTTCTATTTTAAATTAATTTTTTAAATATTTTAGGATCATTTCGATGTATTGATATCAAAATAAAATTTTAAAATAAAAATATTATTTTAATATATTTATAAGTAGAAAATACTTTAAGAAGCAATTCCAATCATATTTCAAAATGAACCCTTATTCTTATGCAAGAAATCTGTCTTGGAATATTAATTGTTGTATTGAAAATATTAAAAAATAAAGATTTATTTTGTAAATACATATATGTTGAATCTAACTTGGAGGGTATGAAAGGATGGATTAAGAGGAGTATAAATATAGTAAAATGAAAGGATGAATAATGCATTTATCTAGTAGTTGGCTAATAACAGGGGAAGGAATCAAAATAAATCCATTCAAATTGAAAGGTTCAGCTGCAAACAAGGAAGGATAATTCTTTTATCTTTAAATATTTTATGAATTTAATTTCATAATGCTATCTAAAATGGAAAAGAAACATGCATGTATACATAATCACACATATAATGTTAGATAAAATAAATTATTTTATTAATTACAAAATATTCTAAACTATCAAATTTTCTTTTTAAAAAAAAGATATAATGCACCATCAAGGTAAGATTTCAAAACCAATGGATTAATTTAGGTTTAGCATCCAATGAAATTTAGTAAATTCATTTGAACACTTTATTAAGACACATTGTATCATCAAGGTAAAATTTCAACCATGAAGGGTTAACTTAATGAGTAAAAAAATTTGCTTTTGTTTTTTAAATTTAAAGGTGTTTGGAAATATGGTAGTGATTATTTTTCAAAATATTTTTTACTTGAAAATATATGAAAATAATATATTTTTTATTTTTTAAAAAATATTTTTGATATCAACATATCAAAACAATAATAAAGCTTTAAAAAATTAAATTTAAATAGTTTTTTTAAAATTTTACTTAATCTATTTAAAATAAAATACCAAATAGTGCTTTGTAGAGTGCATGTTTGGGAGAATTTATTAAATTTCTTTAAGGACCTCAAAGAAGTTAATTTTGATTGATATGTAAATTATTAACAATGAAAATAATTCATATTTTTTTTTGTAGTTTTATTACTAAATGCACTGCTAAGTATACTTTTAGCATGTACTTTTTTCTATCCACAATCACACAATCTTACATACAAAACCTAACACATATTTGCAGTGCTTAAGATATTAATATATATTATTTTTCAAGTATTTTTTATATTATCATATTAAAACAATCTAGTAATACAAAATAAAAAAGGAAAAAAAATCAATTTTTTTCTTAAAAACACATTCAACCCAGCGCCAAACAACTCTTAATTCATTCTAAGCTAATCTGATAGCCCTTGTATCAATGGCCTTTTAGCCTTGAAATGCTTGCAAAATGCACCTCTTCTTCGTGAGAGGAGCACCAAAACCTAGGTTGTGTACCATTTATTCTCATGTTATGTTGATTGTTTTGTTTATATGTTTTGTTGTTAAGAAATTTAAATTTTTTTATTTTTTATTTATTTTAAATTAATATATTTTTAGTGATTTCAAATCATTTTAATATACTGATATCAAAAATAATTTTAAAAAAATAAAAAATTATTTTAATATATTTTAACATGAAATTTTTTTATAAAATAACTATAATTATATTTCCAAATAAACTATAAAACAAATTAAATATAATAATGCATCTCTATATTGATAATCTAATGTAACTTCACTTTTATTAAACAAAAAAAAAATAGATTTCAATCCACTCTCCAACAAGCTTTTTTCATTCTTACTCGCATCTTTGAATTAACTATAAAAGATGGCTAATTAAAATCATGATTGATTAGTGATTTAGATATTGTTTGAGAACGTGGTGTAAATTATTTTCTTAAAAAATTTAATTTTTTTTTTATTAAAATTTAATATATTTTGTATATTTTGGATCGTTTTGATGTGCTGATATTAAAAATAATTTTTAAAAAATAAAAAAATATTATTAACATGAATTTTGATAAAAAAGTTATTTAAAAAATAACCATAACTATATTATCAAACACATTTTTAATCTGTATTTTGGTATTCTGATTAGACTTGTAGGTGGTTCAAATGTGATTTAAGTTATGAAAATAGGTAATATAATTCATTTTAAATAATAAAAACTTAAGAGAATTTCTTGTTAAAGTATTTTTTTATTTAGAAATGCATTAAGATAACAATTTTTATTTTTAAGTTTTATTTTTAATATTTATATATTAAAATAATAATAAAATTATAAAAAATAAAAATTAAATTTTTATTCCTTACTGCACTCCAAAACAAGCTTAGGATGTGTTTGAAATTATAGTTGTGGTGAGAGTTTAACTATTTTTGGTTTAAAATTGTATTAAATAAATTTTTTTATTTTTTAAAAATTATTTTTAATATCATCACATTAAAATAATAAAAATTATAATTTTTTATTTTAAATAAAATAATTTAAAATTTTTTAAAAATATAATTTATATCCCATTCCAAACATCCGAAGTTTAAGCCACGACTATTTAAACTATGGTTATGAAATTGCCAAGATTAAATTATGGGTTTATTCATGAAAAAAAAAAAAAAAAACCTCGGTTGCCTCCTGATGAGAAAACCGATTTCCCATGATCCAAGAGAAGAGAAGGAGAGAAGACGAATGACTCGAGAGAACATCTCAACTGATGGCCGACCGACTACCTCGGTTAAGGCCCGTGAACTACTTCGGAAATTTGTGGAATCTAAATCCATATGATGGGGCCCTATTGTGTATTCATGATCAGAACAATGAACGGTTCTGATTAGAGAGAGCACAGCCTTAAGAAGCGCGTCACCGCAGGTTAATAATGATATACTTTGTTTGTTTAAGGATATAATTATAGTGGTTTTTTAAAATGTTTTTTATTTAAAAAAATATTAAAATAATATATTTTCATTTTTAAAAAATTATTCTTAATATCACATTATTAAAATGATTTAAAAATATATTAATTTAAAATAAAATAAAAAATAAAAACTTTTAAACTTTTTAAAAAATACTTTTAAAATTAAAAAATAAACATTATCTAGAAGCTCAGATGAGATGATCTTCTTCGTTAATTATGTGCCAAATTAATTATTCATACCTTTGCTTGTCTGCTACTTATTGACTTTTTGGAGCCGTGGGAATACTTAACTACTCGCTCTAGCAAAGAGCCACGTATTTCAAAACACTTGTCAAGTTCTAAGATAACCATCAAGCCACGATACCATTATCTCAACAAACACCCCGTGACAAGGGATTTCTACTGCTTCTTCCTTTTTCCCCTTGGGGAGTGAAAAATGATTTGGATTCAAGATATTTTTATTATAAAATAAAATAAAATAAAATTCAGCATGTCTAAATCCAAAACCATGAAGCTTTTTGACAAAATGATGTGAGGTTATTTCAAATAATTTAGAGGACGTAAAGGAGAAATTGACTAAATTTTATTTTGATAAATAACTTGAATATTATATCTTATTCCAGGATTAAAACCAAGATTTTTTTTTAAAAAAATAAAATTTAAATTAACTAAGTAAATCCAAAAATCTAGTGAGTTAGGTTTTTTAACAGGTCACATGATAAGTAAGATTTGAGATTTCTTAAAAATATTTTAAATTTAAATATCCAAAAAAGAAGATAGATTCAATAATATATATAATTTAGAAAATATTTGGAAATATAGTAATAATTATTTTTTAAAGTATTTTTATTCAGAAATATATCAAAATATTTTTCTATTTTAAAAAATTTATTTTTGATATTACAACCACAAAACAATTCAAAAAAATAAATTTAAATATTTTAAAAATATTATTTGAAATGCAATTACAAACTATACTTAAAACTCGTGTAATTCCAGGAAAAAAACATAATTTAATAATAATAAAAAAAAAAAAAACAATCCGTAGATATTGAACGTAATAATAATAATAATAATAAAAACAATCCGTAGATATTGAATGGACCACACACAAATTCATTTGATCTATAAGCTAATGAGAATACATATGCGATAAATGCATGGAAATAATTAGCTGTGAATAATGCTCAAAACATAACATCAGTAGTATCATCATGTGCATGATAATTACATGTACCAATCAATCTCTTGTTGTTGATGGGACTAGTCACTCAATCATATATATATATATATATATAGTTTTTAATTTCATAATGTGGTTCAGAATATTTTGTAAAAATATTTTTTAATTAATTTTTTTTAAAATACTATTTTTTTTATATAAAATATCAAAATATTTTAAAAATATAATTTAATATTATTGCAAGTAAAAAATAATTTAAAAATCATGATAATTAAGCTTATTTTAAATATTTTTATTAAAATAACATTAGTTTTTTAAAACCAAAACTTAAACATTATATCATTTTGGTTTTAAGAGAATTAAATTTAACTTATCCAATAAAAAATTGATCCATCCATGCAAATCAAGTGTTGAAGGGAGTCAAAACTTGAGCCAGATTTTATAACTATGCGAAGCTCTCCCATTAATGGCACTGTAGTTCTTTGGTAATAGTCTTTTCAGTATTTACTAAGAGATTAACTATTCAATTCTTAATAAAAATAATATTGATATAAATATTAAGAATTTAATTTATATATATTTTATATAAAATATTATTAAAGTTAAGTCTCTTATTTCTATCATGGTGATTAAATTAATTTTTCTTATCACGAAAGATCCATGAATCCTTTCTCTTTTTTATTTTTTTAAATACTAATAACTAATTAAAAAAAATATAATAATAATAATAATTTAAATATTGACAGCTGTTGATGATGATAGAGCAAATAATCCATCCATGAGGTACCACCACTGCTGCTAGACTTGGACAGTGGCTGGCTGCATCAACTGAGCCAAAGGTTGACACAACAATCCAGCACTTCTGAAAGAAAGAATGAGTGTGGTCGGTGTGTGTGTGGTCTAAAAAGTTAGTCAGTGTGAGGGAAAGGGAAGGAAAGGAAAGGAAAGGAAGGGAAGGCATGTCTGTTTGTTTCTTGGGAAACTGAAAAATGAAATTTTAGTGGTCAGTTTCCCAATGTGCTTTGTAGCTCTCAATTCTCTCACTTTTCTACCTCTTATGGCTTTGATCAGCAAAAATGGCCCTTTTCTTTGATATTTTATTACAATCATTCAGATTGTTTGAATTTTGTGTTGTTCATGTAAGACTGCATATACTGTTTTGGGATTTCTGCGAAGTGTTTTTTTTCCTTGTGGAAAACTATTTTTGCAGTGTTTTATCTCAGCATGGCATGTGTCTGTGTGCATGGTTTTTCTAATGGGAACTCATCCCAGCTGTTTGTGACTTTCTTCTGTTTTTCCTTTATTATCCAAATGTAAGCATTTCATTTGTTTTTCTCCCTTGAAACCATCGGCTAACCAAGAGGAATGGAAACAAAATAGTAGTAATAATTAATGGCTCTGATATGATGTCTACCATTTTTCTCCATTTTTTCAGCATGTTGTTAAAGAAGAAAGAACTTGTGTTGAAAGGGGGTTATGTTGGATCTTAATTCTTTAGAATTTATGCCCGTCTTTTAGCCCCAAATATGTTTTTTTGTCAGTTTTTCAAACATTTTTTGTGCGAATACTAATGAGTATTCTTATTTATTTTGCAGTTGGAAGGGGTAAAGAAGTGGACAGGAAAGTTTAGAAAAAGTTACGAATATGAATGGCTGAGACTTGGGAGGGACAGCTCTTTAAACTTTGTTATTTCTTGTAGGACTTTTAGACAAAGCCCATACCCGAGTTACCTTGCACAAGAAATTAAAGAAAGAAAAAGAAAGAAGAAAGAAACTTGCCTTGAGCAGGAAAAGTTTGGTCTAGGAGTACACTTTCATGCGAGTCATTTGTTTGAAGTAGTTGGTTGCTATGCCACAGCAAAGGTTTCAAGTATCCTCTGGGGCTCTCTAGTTTTGGATAAGAAAAAAATGAATACGGAGCCATTGAACCAGAAATCTCTTGAGAGAGTGGTGTCACAGAAAGCTTTACAAATTGGCAGTTCTTTTTCATTTCAAATTTGTGTGGTGGGTTTTCTTAGTGGAGTTTGTCTCACCTCTTTGTTTTTGGCTGCTCTTACTTCACTGGGGACTTTTGAGTTTGGTGGCATTTCATTTTCTTCCATCTCTCTGGGAAATTCTCCTTTGAATTCTTCAAGTTCTGGGTTTTTCAGTGAGTATAAGTTAACCCTGTTTGTTCTTCAACTGCTGTTTGTTTCTGGAACTGTCATTTGTAAAATTCCTGCAAGTTTCAATTGGTTTTGGATTTATGAACAGGGTTTTTAGTCCAAAAAGTTTTACTGTTGAATTCTCAAGTCTTGACTGATTGGTAAAGTTGATCAGAGTAATTTTGATTGGTTTTTGGTGAAGACAAGGCAGAAATTCATGCATGAAAAGTAAAGCCAGGAATGATCAAAGGGTGCATGTGAAGCAACATAAACTTCAAGTGACTTGTTAGATACTTTTGTTGGTTACTACTCCACTTGACCTTGATCAGAGCTTCTAGATCACTGTTTACTAGTGCTTAACATGATTAGTACAACCACCCGTTCTCTAATATACTTAGAATTGAGACCAATAACCCTGCTGTTCCTGAGGTAATGATTGATAAGTTTTGATGCTTTGGAAATGATTATGCTCTTCAAAAGTTAGCCTTCATGACGAAGTGAGGTATCTAACTTAATTCTGTTGTAGCCAGTCTTCTAAACAATCGCTGTCCAGTGCATCCCTGAGCTGTTGATGAATTGTGGATCTCATGTAATTTAAAGCTTTAATTTTATAACTAAAAGCACTTGGATGGATTTAATTGCAGATACAGTTACAAGTGCAGACTGCAAATTTAAGAGAGAGGAAATCCTTACAGAGAGGTGGGTTGACTCAAAGAGAAGTGAAAATGGGGTTGATGATGAGAGAGTTTCATTATTACATTCAGCTTGGAGTGCCTTACTATCCGAATCAGTAGATGGAGAAATTGCATTCTGGAAAAGTTCTGGACTTAGGAAATCTGCGGTGCCAAATGCCCCTCATTTGGAGAACTGCAAGTTGAGTGAACAAATAAATGAACATCTTGATAAGCGTGCTGAGAATGAGAGGCTTCCTCCTTGGACAACTTGGAAGGGATTATTAAACGCACACCCTGCATCTATGCCCACTGAGCAACTGAGGTACCTTAGGCATCAAGCAATACCTGAAGGCGCTTATCCTCCCTGGGTATGTTTCTGGTGTACTTGATCAGAATGTCATCACAACTGAACAATTCCATTCATCTTTGGCGAACATTTAATTCTGGAAATCATGCTCAACATTGTTTGGATTTGAGAGAGATGGAGCGAGGTGAAGTAGAGAGAATAATTTGATGAGTAGAGAAGAGAGATTTCAAGTTGGAACATGATTGATTATTCTAAATTCCATTTTACCTTTCGAAATCCTGCTTGAGTTCTATAATCAAACAAGGACACAGATCATAGCATGGTCACACAAACAGGCGATGATCATAGAACAATGATCTATAAAAATTGTCCACGCATTGCATTCCTCTCACTTCGTTCATGATTAGTGATCTATAATATTGCATTGTACAAATATTTTGTTTCTATTTCAAAGTTTTCCATTCTTTCCATCATGATTTTACTTAATAGTGTTGTCAGGTTTTAGCTTCATTGCTTGTTGTTATGATTCCCAGATTACTGGATCGGATGAAGAAAACTATCCTCTTACTAGGAAAGTGCAGCGTGACATATGGCTCCATCAGCATCCTGAGAACTGCAGGGATCCTAATATAAGATTTCTGGTTGCTGAGTGGGAGAGGTTACCTGGTTTTGGTATTGGAGCCCAGCTAGCTGGAATGTGTGGGCTTCTTGCTATTGCAATCAATGAGAAAAGAGTTCTTGTTACCAGCTACTATAATCGAGCCGACCATGATGGTTGTAAAGGTACAAGTGAAGAATCAAATCGTTCATGTTTCTTCTGATTCTTTTTTTTTTAATGAATAGAAGTTGTTCTAATTGATAGTTATTTCCAAGATGTATTACATGGATAAGGATATGCTTGTGTGTAAAAGCATCCTCAAATGAGTTGTTCCTTGCATAAAAAGTTATGAATTTGCCCATTCAATGTTTAATGATAAATGTCTCCCCTCAAGGAAACTCAAAGCCTCAAGGGGCAAGTGTTGTTTCTAAGTTCTAATCACCTAGTTTTTACCTGGTGTTATTACATGTCAAGAATGTGTTATTTGGTGTGAAGCCTTAGAGATAACTAAAGGTAAGAGCTGGAAGATAACCATGTTGTTATTGATAAACAACCTTCAACACTTTGTTCTTATAGGTTCTTTGCGCTCCAGTTGGTCTTGCTACTTCTTTCCAGAAACATCCCAAGAATGTCGAGATCGTGCGTTCGAGCTATTGGGTAATAAAGAAGCATTGGAAAGGGGAATTGTAACTACAAAAGACAATTACACATCAAAAGAAATATGGACTGGACGGACTCCAAGGCAAGTGATCATTGCATGTGTAATTAGAATTAACCCGTGGAGATAATTGTTGCTCTTATTCCCAAATGATTGCACAATTTGTATAACAGGGTATGGGGCGAACCGTGGAGGTTCTTGCAACCAACAACGGAAATAAATGGGAGTTTGGTTGTGTCTCATCGTAAAATGGATCGAAGATGGTGGAGAGCACAGGTAAAACTTAAAATTTACCAAGATGGGAGTGAAACCTGCACTCTCGTGCTGTTCCGTAGAATTGTTAGCATTCTCAGATTTTACTTTCTTGCCAACAGAATTTAAATGCAAATTTGGAACCTTAGTAATTTCATCTTGTTAACATGGAGTTGCAAATTGTAACTTTTCTCTTATTATATAATTCTCATTTTACTACTTTGCGGCTAGAGAAAATAGTTGATGATATTAATTCAGATGCAACAAATATCAGTGAGAGATGATTAGCCACAATCATATAGAAATGGGAGTATGTGGGTGATGGAGGCCATGGGCAGCGAGCAAATTTCCTGCATGTGGTGCCTTGCTTCTGCTTTTATTTTACATATAGATTGTTAGAATTAAAGCCTGCTGGCCTCCATGTTCTGGCACCTCAACCAACATGCCATTTGTGCCTTGTATATGCTTCCATGATGTTTAGCAGCAGTTTTGACACCCACTCCTCTCATGGAACAAGCATCCCTCTCCCTCTCAGTTAATGTCAGGCAGATGCTTTTATATTTATACAAGTTTGCAAATGAGACATTGTATAGCTGTTATCAGGCAATACGCTACTTGATGAGATTTCAAACTCAGTATACGTGTGGTTTGATGAATGTTGCCCGAAATGCTGCTTTTGGGAAGGAAGTTGCAAAGATGTTTCTTACAAGTCTCGGCAAGGAATGGCCAAAGGTTTTTTGTTAATCTTTAATCTCGTGCATTTACCTGTTATAGAGAACATTAATCTGAAGTCTTGAACCTCAGCTAGCTACATTGTTAATCTTCACTGTATCACCTAAAATGAACTATTTTTCCAAATGATTCTCATAATGAACCTGTTCTAATAGGATTTTGGGAACAAGAGAAGGTCGGATATTGAAGAATTTGTATGGTCCAATCACAGACCATGGACTCCTAGGCCATTGTTGAGCATGCATGTAAGAATGGGAGACAAGGCATGTGAGATGAAGGTGGTTGAGTTTGAAGGTTACATGCATCTTGCTGACCGGATCAGACAGCATTTCCCACACCTCAAGAGCGTTTGGCTATCAACTGAAATGCAGGTTTGCGCCTGATACTAGATGCTTTCTGTATCTTATTTTCTCACACACACTCCCCTTCATATCATTATCAACGATCTGATACATTTTCAGGAAGTTATCAACAAGTCCAAGCTATACACGAACTGGAATTTCTACTACACGAATGTAACACGCCAAGTTGGGAACATGACAATGGCCACTTATGAGGCGAGTCTGGGCAGGAAAACCAGCACAAACTATCCCCTTGTTAATTTCTTGATGGCAGCAGAAGCCGACTTTTTCGTCGGAGCATTGGGTTCAACATGGTGCTTTCTCATAGATGGCATGAGGAATACTGGAGGGAAAGTAATGGCTGGTTACTTGAGCGTTAACAAAGATCGGTTCTGGTAGGTATTATCTATCCAAAGCAGGTTTGTAAGTAAAAATGGAATGAGTTCATCTGTAAATGAGTTTTAATCTTTGCACCATAATGTTCCACTTGTACGATGTACAAATAGTAGTGTGATGAAATAATGAAGTGTTTGTCTGAACAAGGGCGCAAATTTCTGCAATTCAATTTACTTTAAAACCTTGTTTGTATTTTCAAAAAAATTAATTTTTTTTAGTATTTTTATTATTATTTTGATGTGTCAATGGTAAAAATAATTTTTTTTTAAATATTATTTTAACGTGTTCTAGAATAAAAAACATTTAATATATTGTTTTTTAAAGTATTTTTATTTTATTTATTTTTTATATTGATATATATTAAAAAATAAAAAATTTAATTTTTAATAAATAAAGAAACAGAAACACAGCGGAAGTCTATTCGAGGGCAGCCATGGAAAGACCATAGCTTGTGTAGATAACTCTAGTGGGCTACCAAACACGAAGTCTCGACGTAAAAAACAAAAACAAGATAGCTTTCTGGGCGTAGCCATCCCAATCAATGGAGGACTGGTGGGCATTAAAAGGAACTCACAAGTACCTCACTGCTTCCAAATTAATTAAAAAAAATAAAAATTCCTTGAACGTCAAGGATCCCGGCCGTCGAAGAGGGACAAACAGTAAATGGCTCTGAATCACGCGTCATTTAGAGCATTGACAAGTCACTTGCAAGCTAAAACCCAGAATCCGGCATGGACTACATGAACAAAATCAAATTCCTGCAGGCTGCTGCCATCCTAGGACTATCGGCTACAACTGTTGTCTGGCAATAGCAACGGCATCCACAATGGTGGCCTAGGGTGCTGACATTGAGGCATGGAAGAGACTGGCGCATGTAGAAAGCTCAAGACAGCCTTTTCTCACACCATCTCCTCGCCAGTGGCCGTAAAATGATGGTTGTGGAATTTTGTTGGGTTGTGGTCACATTATCAAGCTGGGTGGCCAGTGATTCATGTCCAAAAGTAGTGATCTTCTGCACTTGAACTAGGGCAATTTGTTTTTTTTGGATATAGCAATTTGTTGCAAAGGTTCCCAACACGAAATTTAAATATTCACCGATCCACAATCTGAGATGCAGAATTCATCAGATTCAGGTATAATCATTCTTCAGAAAAATGAAGATAAAACTGTGCTCTGAACTATTTCAGTATATTCGTCAGAAAAGGGGAAGAAAATTCGTGGAAGATATAATGACAGAATGGGTTCGCATACTCCTTTCTTGTCTTCTCCCTCCGAAGTCCAGCCCGTAAAAAGGATGACGCAGCCGGGGGCAAACAGTGTTTCACAAAATTTTATTAAAATTATTTTTTAATATTTTATTATTATTTTGATGTGTTAATGTTAAAAATATTTAAAAAAAAATTATTTTAATAAATTTTTAAGCAAAAATCATTTTAAAAAACAATTACCACCTCACTTTTATATATATAGAGAGAGAGAGAGAGAGAATCTTGGAACAAAGTTTATAAATTTTATTGTAAAATATATAAATTTTTTTAATGTGTTTTTCTTAAAAAAAAATTAATTGTAAATTAAAAGGCTGACACATACATTTAATTAAATAAATTAAAAATTATCTATGCTAATAATGAAAAAAAAAAGGTAAAGAATCAAAATATATATATATAAATTAAAATATTTAATCTCGTAATATAAATCATATACTCAATTTTATTTAATAATTTTGTTTATTAATTTTTTTTTTAATCAAGCGATAATATAAATAGACATATATTAAAGTAACTTTTTAATTAAAATAGACATACATGAAAACAATTGAATAAAATAAAAATAAATTATACAAGATTGTAGATACTAGAAAACAAATGTTATAAAATCATTTTATGTGAAAACTAAGTAATATTTAACCAAAATCTAAATTAGAAAGTTGAAAGATAGATGTGAATATATATATATATATATATATATTATCTCGGAACAAAGTTTATAAATTTTATTTAATCTAATAACTTTATTTTTTACAATAAAAAAAAGAACATGTATAGAAAAGTGATCAAATACAATTAACAAAAAAGGTTTTTTAAGGTTACACAAAAAAAATGTCTTTTAATATAAGAAAATATAAAAAACTTATTTGTAAACTAAATAAAAATTAAATCATATTCTATTAAAAAAACATCACAAAAATTTGTGAAAAATAAAAAATAAATCCAATATTAAATTAAAAAATTAAAAAAATCAAAAAAATCAATAAATTAAAAAAAAAAACCTGATGTGTGCTAGCTAGCCTAAGTAGTCTAGCACGACTAGGCTTAAAAAAAACCTGTGCTTAGGTTTTTTATCCTAGACCCGTGTATCTAGACTAACTTATATATATATATATATATATATATATATTATTTTTTAATGTGTGTGTGCACCTATGTTTTGAAAAAAAAACACAAGCAAGAAACACGTGCTGCTTCTAAGAATTCAGTCACACCGAAAAATTAGGATAAAGATTGTTTTACCTAAAAATTCATTTTCCAAGCCAACTTTCTATCTAAAATATCTATAAAGCATTTTAAATATCTTAATAAATTTATGTATGATCTTAAAAAACCCACAAACTGATCTATAAATTCAAAATAAAAAATCTCCCTAAACATAGATCTGTCATCTAAGCTGATGAAAAAGCCAACGAATACTTAGGTTAGACCCTTTTTATAAAATGAAATTCATTAACATTACCATCAATTTTTTTCCTGTCTTTTTTTCTTCCAATCCTACCCTTGTTTAACAAATCAGAGTCAATTGGTAATCAATTTAACCATAAAAAGACTAAATTAAGATGAAAAACTCCTGTGACCAAATAAAAAGAAATATTGAATCATGTGGGAACTGTAACATGGAACCACAGTAAACTTGTTGAGCTTCAGGAAAAGATCAAATTAACACAGAGGAAAGAATGACAAATTGACAATCACAAAATAGGTAAACTTGATAAGCTGAGGCGTAGATACAAAGATTGATGTCTGAAAAAATAAAGAGGGGAGAAGGGAAGGGGAATGAGAGTGAGCTATATTAAAGGCGAAGGAAATCTTGTTCCTCTCCAATTTCACATCACATAAAAATACAACAGTCCTCCTAATGAAGTAATCACCTAACAAATATCCTGGGATTCATCCACTGCTTCATTCAAACGAAGACTGGTCAATGTGCGAAGCAGAGCCTTGCCTATGCAAAATGATTTTCAAGTGGCAAAGAACATTGGACTATTTGGTACATTTATTCTTCCACATCTTCACTCAAATGTTGTGCCCGCCCTTCCTCACCTCTGGCTGCAGCTTGTTTCCTGTGCTTCTTGTTCTTGGCTTTCTTGGCTTTCATGCGGCGTTTCTTCTCATTGGCATCAACCCAAGTATAGTCTGATGGTATGAGGAAAGGATCAATCTCATCCTTGTACCGGTGACTATCACTATCACTCGATTGCCCACCTCGACTCCCCCTCATCCATGAAATCCACGATGATGAAGCCCCTTCAGATTCCTTGGACTTCGCCTCCTGGAAATGAGCTGGGCTGGAGAGAGGTGTTGAGAATTCTTCTGATGGCTGTAGCTCCTCAAATTTTGTAAAAGTAACAAGCACCCGAATAGTTGGGACAATAGGGATGGCAACCTGCAGTAAGGAAAATGAAACATTAATCATGCTCCCAACAGTTAAATAATTGAATGCAAAAGGTATGGATCTATTCATTTCGTGCATGCACTGATTTCTTGCTGATATAATTCAAATCATATCAGTTCAAAGAAATTTTTCAACAGAAAACAAAAAGGAGAAAAATTCTGAAGCAAATTATTTCAGATTCATTTTGTTAGCTTGCCATCAGTTATAAATGCACTTAGCCAGGCAATAACACATATCCGAGTCTCATAAAATATTCTGTAATTTTGATCTTGAACATTTACCGATGACTTACGACAAAGGTATCAAAGTCCAGTAAACATCAGCTAACATGTAGAAGGCACCATTACATTACCAAAAGCTTAAGTGCCAACTTAATCCCTTCTACACATAGCATGTGGTTTTGAGATGACAGGCTAAAAATCATGAGAAAAAACACACCTTTTTTTATCAATGGAAAGCACAACAATAAATAAATCAGGCAGATCCACTGGCCAAATCTGAAATAAAAATGCAAAAAAGATGATTTCTGAAATGTCAATGTCAGCATAATAACCCGTCTTTGACCAAAGCACTTCACTTTTGCCTGTTTGCAAAGTATCTGACATGAAGCGCCTAAAAAGAGATTTTATTATGAACTAAAAAAATGTGCAAGATGCATCAATTAGAATGACATAATTGTGATAATTATTAATTCTAAAAAGGATCATTAAAAGCAAAACAACTGCGTAGTAAGAGCACTAAAAGCACTCCTGGACAAAGGATATAAGACAGGCAATGATGAGAAAGACAATCATATAACGGTAAATGATTGTTAGATTACTTCAACACAAAACTATTGAAATCTATTTTCTATTTCATAAATGTAAAGAACTAATTCAATCATAAATTCTAGGTTAGATCTCTATCAGGTCAGCTAGTTCTAACTTTCCCTTTTACTATCTGAAAGCTTAACAGGGTACAATCTAACTCAAAGTCTCCTCAAGTTTTATTTTTATCTCCCAAAAAAATAAAAAGCTTTGCTATTGTAGTCCACTAGTACTTCCTCAGCCTCAAGCCACAAGGAATAGCACATCTCTTTTAACAAGATTTTTACTTCAGTTTTTTTTTTTTAAAAAAAAAGGAGAAATGGAGACTTCCCTGAAAGGTAGTCCATATTGCTTAAATCACTCTGGTCCACTTAACTAACATGAATGAGCTTGGCAAAATATTAAACCAGATAAGCCTATAAAGGGAAATTAAAGCATGGAGGAAAGACCAAAATGCTTAGAGGAAAACCAATAGAGATATTTCTGCGAGCCAAAATTGATTATCTACTAACATTTTCAGCAAAAGGAATGCCAAGTCCATTTTAAAAGTTCCAACAATTGAGTTGTTGAACAATGGTTTCGTGCTATTCCAGTTGAATCCCAGAACAAAAGAGCAGATTGCAACCAAGAATCTTAAAAAACTTATGGTCCAAAATTCTCACAAATCATCTCCTCCTACCAGACAAAACAAAAAGGAAACAAAGAAAGAAAGCACCAAGGGTAAAAGAAATCCTTGTACTATCTGAAACAAAAGCTAATTTGCTTAGTATCATGATGGAAGCAGAGAATAACATGTGTAAATATGGGAGGAGAAAATGTAAATTGACTAAACAAAAGATATAAATGACAGTGCAGGATGTGCAACCAATAAAACAAAGCAAGAGGAGATTTGAGGAATCTGATTTACCTTGACAGGAAATGTTCCCAGGGGAAGTTTTGTTGTCAAAAGCTCTCTGAGTCTCCTAATAGCCTTGACTTTGTTGGCTAATATGTCAAGTAAAGGCAGGAGCTCCTCAGTTTTCAAAGGAAAATCTGGTGTGAGCCACAAGATGGGTCTCAAGCCCTTCTTGTACTCACTCTCATGCTTAGATTCGCTACTGGGCCCTTTCTTCTTCTTCTTCTTGCTGCTTTTATCTTTTCCCTTCTTGGCATCAGCCATATCCTCCCTAGCAGATTCAGATGATTTTTGATGATCAACAGGTTTCTGGGTGCCACCTTCTGGTGCTAATTTTGAAAATTTTTTCAAGATCTTTGAATCTTCAGGATCATCACTAGTGTTCTTTGAACCTTTGTTCTTCCAACCAAACCAACTCTTCTTCTCCTTAATGGAACCATTAGAGTCGCCATTTTCAAAGATTCCTCCAGAGCCATTTTCTTGGTACTCAACAACACTAGGCTCCTCATCATCACCAACACCATCTGAGTTCCCTGTACGAAGTGCAGAATCTAACTGTTTCCTCTCCTCAGCAGTCAACACATCATCAAACTCATCATTTTCAGCAGCATTTCCTAATCTCTCTTCCTCATCCACTGCAAAAAGCTCTTCATCAGTCATAGCACCAGGAACCCGTCTTGACTTCACACTGACCATAACATGAAGCATGTCATAAACTTTGGCCTTCCAATTTCCAACCATTTCTGTCCTCTCTTGCCGCCTCCAATTCAAATGTGGAACAAGCTCCGCTTGAGTGACGTCAATGCCTGGCCTATACATGTTAGTTTGAGACATCAAAGCCACTTCATGGGCAACTTCTGCTTCAGTTGGTTGGGCACCAGCCCCCTCCAACGCATTTGTAACCTCCTTTTCCTTGTGGGCAAGAACAACCAAAGAACCTGGTGCCAAAGATATGTTGCCATCCTCTGAGGAGTATCCCTCCCCAAGAAATAGAAATGTTTGATCTGACCTCTGAATGCGAAAACCATCAAAGCCAGCAAGAGTCATATCAGCACGGAGGTTAGAACCACGCTTCCAAATGCGGTAAGTATCTGACGGGGCAATACGACCAATAAATGGTATGACAGAACTCTCAAAATGAAAAGTTATCTCCATATAAAAATCATGAATACGAGCTGCTGAAGCAACAATCCGCGGGAGCCTTCGACACCATTTTGCCCAAGCAAGAGGCTGGTAATGCCGAGCAATTATCATGGCGATTGTCTCCTCTCTCGTGCAAACTGCTTCTTGAAGTGCACTCCAGCCATTCTCATTCTGCAGACTCCAGTCAGCACCAGCTGCCATTAAAATCTCAGCGGAGATTGGATCCCGCAGCCTGACAGCAAGGTGCAAAGGAGTTTCTCTGCCAGGAACATCCCGGCGGTCAATGACAGCAGAGACAGAATCCGCCTGTTGCTCAGCCGCAAGAGACTCTTCTTCAGTATTGACTTCACCAGCCTTGGCAAGACGTGGGAGGGCTGAGATAATTTGCCTAAGGGTAGCATAATCTCGGCGTGCAACTGCCAGATGGGCAGGACTATGAACAAACTTGGACAAATCTTCCATAGGTTTTCTCTCCTGTTCTATTTCTTTTCAATCTCTAAGCTATAAAGTTTGTTCCATTTCAATCTCTATTTCTCTTCCAAAAATTCTAGGGTTTCATTTCACCCTGCACAATTAGGGTTTTACACGGTTCAACTTTCTTCTTCTTCTCCAACAATAAACTTGTAACTCTTTCAAGGAGAACCAACATAACCCAATTGAAAGAGATCAATAAAATTATCAAAACTTAGAATACAAAAGATAATCCTGGCTCATTTTCTTGCCCAGATGTCTTCCATTTTCTTTAGCTTCCAAAACACCAAAGCCCACTTCAGTAAAACTCCATTCTACTGTAATCAATCTTTCAAAAAGCTGAAATATGGAATAATTTAAAATAAAATAATTAGACCCCAAATTTAATTAAAAATTTCTAGGTTACCAGCTAAAAAAAACTAAAAATTTCTGCTACACGTGAAAGATCAATATCCTTTGTGTTTGCCTATGAAAAAAAGGATTCTTTTTTTTTTCTTTTGCTTACTGAAACCTAACACAATCAATCAAATATATAACCATTTTTTAACGAATTCAATTTTATTTTCACTTTCCAACAATAATAAAAAAAATTAATAAAATTACAAAAAACTAAAAAATCCGGTCTTGTTTGGTTTTCTCATTAACCAAACAGTAAATCTACACTCTTTTCACAACCAAAGAGTATAATTACCTGAAAATCTCGAAATCACAAGAGAAGAAGAACCGGCAAACACGACCCGATCTCTTCTTTGAGTTTTCCGCTTCAAAATCTTTAAAATACAAACAGCGAGCAGAAGAGAGAGAGAAAACTTTTCGCTTCAAATTCTTTCGAGTAGAAACTAAGCGAGAGAGAGAGAGATAAGAAGAACCGGACGATTGATATTGATGCGATCTATAGGTTACGATCGACTCTGCCAAACAGTGTTAACTCAGTAACTTGACGTGACCCTTACTCGGTCACTAACCCAGTTAGATCTCTTCCTCTCTGATTCCTTTCTTTTGCTTTCGTTCTTTTAACAGTCTCTCTATGCGCTCTCTCTCTTTTCTCTATCTGCAAAAATTCTTTCTTCAGGAGGTGGGAATAATACAGCATTGCCCTTTATGTGTTAAAATATTACTATTATGCCATTGCTGCCTTTCTCCACTTGGCTTCCTGGTCCCCACTGGATTTTCATCAGTAGATTGGTGGGTCACTTCAGTAGTTTGGATTCTACTCTTATTCGTACTGTTTTTTAGAGTGAGAGTACGGAAATGGGCTTTACTATTTAAATATTTACGGTTTTGTGCCACTGTTAAGTTGTACTCGTGTTACTGTTTGGGAGATCCAATGATGCTTGATGCTGACACTGCATTCTGAAGGACAGCAGTGAAAATGAGATTTTTTTTTTTTTTTTTTTACAAATAGTTTTATAGATGAGATATAGGTAGAAAAATCATGTGTTTATGGCATGGATAGAAAAATAAATTATATAGTAAAAAAAAATAAGTTAGAAAGAATGAAGCATTTAATAAGAAATTAATATGAAAATAAATACTTATTATATTTTTTATTCATAGAATTCTAAGATTTCATTTTATATTGATGCAAGATTATAAATTATTTTATAATTACATTAAATCTTAAAATTTTTAAGTTTGTTTTACGTTGCAGTTTAATTATGATTTTAAAAAATATTTTATTATATTTTATTATTATTTTGATGTGTTAATATTAAAAATAAATTTAAAAAAAATTAATTCATTTTTAAATAAAAAATAATTTAAAAATAATTTTTATTTTTTTAATAATTTTTTATTTTTTTATGATTTGTTTGAGGCTGCTATGGATGGATGTATTTCTTTTTGTAACAATTTGGCAAACAAATCTATTAAGAGTTATTAAAAATCATTTAATATATCTAATTAATCATAATATTTTTATTTAAAATTTATTATAAACACTTTCATATAAAATAACACTTATTTAGTGTCTTTAATAAATATCATTGATTTTTATTTTTTAACATAAATCAATAATATATGAAATTTAATAAATATACTCAAATAATAATTAATGGATGCTTTCATTTGCTTTTCTCATAAAATAATTGGTTCTAACCGAAAACAAAAACATCTTACTTTCAAACTTATGAATTTATAATTCTCTCTGTATAATTTTTTTTTTGGCATATAGTAATCAATATCATATTATTTATATTAACTCTAACTATAATTAAAATTTCAAGTAGAAGCAGCTCAAAATAAATTTAAAAACATATCATTATAACAAGAGAATATTGAGTAAAGGTAGTCATTATCGTTTTGTTTTCGAATAACTAGTAGTAAAAATAGTCATGATGCCATAAAATTATTTTTAAAATCTAATTCAATTTAATTCAACAATAATTAAGATACATACAAAATTAATGATTTAAATTCGAAAGAGAAATGTATTCTTTCAGTCAAAAACCTCATTTTATTATTTAAAACAAAACATATATTTTTTATTAGCTGCATAGTTTTTTTTAATAAAAACTAGGTACTATTAAAATATATATTTTTAAGAATTTTAATGATTTAAACTAAAGAGGAAAGAAACTATAATTTTAAATCAAAATTCTCTTTCTTTATTCTTGTGTTTCTTTTTTTTTGACATAAAACATGTCTTTTTATTAAAAATATTTTTTTTCAAATTAAAAGTTATCATGTTCTAGAAAGTAGAGTTCAATAAAAAAAAATATTTCTTGATAATTTATACATGGTTATATGAAAAAATAATAAATAATAAAATAAATATTTTATTATTATAAATATTCGTGTGGTTTATTTGTTTTAAAAACTCTGCATGTTAGTTTTCTATACAATAATTCACAAAGTAATTATTAATATAACCTTAAAAAAACTCTAATCTAATTTGAAATTCATGCATAATTGGATGATTTTTTTAAAAATTATCTTGATAAAAACTGATAAAATCATTCTAACTTAGTAAACTTATGATTTTAATATTAAATTTACATTTTCATTAGATTTATAATATTGTCCCACTTTATTGTAAAAATATTTTTTTTCACTATAAAATATAATGACTCTTCATTTCCACAATAGCCTCCCTACTAGCCTTAATAAACTACTTCCTCACAATTACAACAACATTTCTCTCTCTCTCTCTCTCTCTCTCTCACACACACACACACACACACACACAAACACACATACACTAACCCAATAGATCCTATTCTCTCTCTCTCTCTCTCTCAAACACACATACACTATTTTTTCTTGCGCCATTCATGAAATG